ATTTCTTACCACATAGCTGGTGTGTTGATTTTTCAGTTGTCTTTATTGCATTCAATTCAATAGGAATATGATTGCAGTGTTGTAAGATAAATGGTATCACTGGTGAAGTCCAAGGCGTTCTTTCTCCCCCCCCCCACTTCCTCTCTCACACACACACAGTCTTCAAGTCAGAAATATTTGTCTACATGCACAGACGCACCAATAAATATATAAACTTGTCAAGTGGCCATTCAGTCTCTCTCAGCTTAAAGAAGCAAGACAATGGCAAGATTTCAGAAGTAGTTTGCCACTGCTTGCTTTCTAGAGCTGAACAAGAGAGACTGTCCCATTAGCAAGAAGTTGCCAACATGTTTTATTAATTCCTTCACACAAATGTTCTGGGAGAAAATCAACAGATGAATTCTTTGAATTATTATTTTTTTGCTTCCTGGCCCTCTTTCTTCTACTTAATACTTAGAAAATTTAAATGCTTCTGAAAAAATTATAATCAGTTTCATTGATGTAATAGTTACTGTTACAGGTGTTAGAGGAGATCTAACATTAGACACCTAATAATTGGATTCACTTGTGAAACCCAAAAATAACTCCAATGTTCCAGGCAGTTGATTCCTATTTTAAAATTCACTAAAATATGCATTATGTTTGACTATAGCCCTAATTGTGCACCAGCAACTTTTCCTGAATGTTGACCTTCCATAGGAAACATATATAATTAGGTGGTACTACGTTGGGTATGTGGTTTTAAATTACAAATGACTCCCTTGAGTTTTACTAGGATGTTAAGTAGATACAACTATGTTGTTTTCTTGTCAATGGTTTGCCTCTAACTTTTTCCCAGTCAAGCTTATAGCCATTGGCTATGCTAGTAATTGCTCAAGCACTAGCCTGGTCTAAACATGCATGTTTTTTTAAATCAGCCAAAATTTGATAAATGCTGCTGAATTCTATAAAAATTGAACTTTATTTTTAAATATCTCATCAAACTTTGATATTAAAGTTATACCTTGGCTAACAATGGCAACTGGGACTGGAATTGCTAAATGATGCAGCCATAAAGTACAGTATAATCATGTGACCATGCTACTTGGCAACAGCAGTTCTGGCAGACCTGGTTCCTGTCATTTGTAAGGACTGTACCAGTCATTAAGCAAGGACCTCACATGACCACAACTTACCAGTTCTTGCCACCTTCCCCATTGATTGCTTCTGAGAAGCCAGCAGGGAAGGTCATAATTACCACTCATTCATCACTACCTCAAATTTCAGGAGTTGCTGAACAAATGGATGTAAGCCAAGGGCTATCCTTATAGGCTCACCAAAATGTGTACTCAATCCCCTAAATTGTTTCAGAAAATTATATATTTAAATATCTCAATAGTAATAATATTCCCTAGCTTTCAGCTGATAAATCCTCCATGAAAATTTAGGCATCTAGAAAAAGTATGTTTGAGTTACATTGATAAGTCATCTTGATTTGCCAATTTCCAAGAAGCTGCTGTTACAAAGTCATTTAATCAAAGAGGATAAAAGTTGCAAGCACAAAATTAAAAGAACTTAGAATAATTTGGCTTATTTGTATGTGAAGGGAACTGGCATATTCTTTGATTACTATAATGTTGGTACATCTGACTCAGCCACATATTTGCCACCTGCTTTCTCAATAAGTCTTAAAGAGAAGCAGAAGATGCAATTTGGAAATAGAGTCTATTTTAACTATTTGAAACAGAGTATATTTCAACCCTATTTCAACTCCAAATTAAATAAATGCTCTAAAACCAATATCAAATAAAGTATATTTGTCACTCACATCATCTGTACTTCATGAGTCAGAAGTCCTATAACTTCCTGGAAAAGCATGATCATTAGCACATATTGATAAATACAAATATTATATTCTGAAACAACCAAGATGCTGACAGGGTTGGTATTCTTGGCTGCTATGCTAGAGCTCAGAAGTTGGTGCCAAGGAAAAGATAAGGACTCCCAGTGATTAAGTTTTTAAGCTTCTGGTCTGCTGCTATTAAGATTCCTTGCCAGGTCTCCATAGCGATAACTGATGAGCATCAACAACTGTTCAAAGCAGAAAGGCCAATCCATTGGAGGTAGGGGATGGATTTGCCATCAATTTCATGACAGTAAGGGTAAAGTGATTAACACCAGCTAATTCCTTTATAATCAAAACGAGCCATTTAGAAACTATGTTCAAGTATCATCATGGATGGGAAAAGAACCAATAGGTGAGAATGACAGAACCGGGGAAAGAAGCAAATATTTTAATATCACTTGGATTTCTATTCATTTTGCAAACCTTTTTTCATCATTTTGCCCTTTTTTAACATATTTAAATGAATTGTTTCAATTTTTGAGATAAGTATTTAGATTCAGAATCTTTATTTCTGTCAGGATAGTGTTCATCAAGAACATCACTGAATGGGCACTATTAGAAAAGTACCAAGATAATTGAGGTCTGCCTCTACTTTAGATATGAAACATTCTGTTCAGTCATCCATTGTAAGTTTTAGATATATAGACCAGAATCCATAGAACTACACAGCTAATTCTTTTACCACAAGGATTTTGTTTTTGGATCATAACTCCATTTTTCCAATGGCATATGACAAATTACTTTGTAGTTAAGATTCTTCAAAAGATAATTATAATATGAGGATTTGTCATTCAAAATAAAAATGTACAAAACTCATGATACCTGTGTTCTTAAATACATGTAAATTACTCCCTAGATTTAAATATAGAGATATCAGAGGAGTAAATAGAAATAATCATATATTTATCATATTTCTTCTTGTTTAGTTATATTGATATGAAACTCTTGCACTTTATGGGGGGCAATATTACCCTCATGTATCCATTTGGGTAGGGTTTTTTCCCAGATATGGTCAATAAGTGTGGCAAAACCATGGATTACTTCTGCAGTGCAAATAAATGTTCCCCTTTTCCCAAAGTCAAAATAGGGTTTCTAAGATTTTATTTTTAAAAGATCAAGTCTTAAATTGTCCCGAGGTAAAAGTTCCCTAAAATCAACACAGGAAATGAATTTAAATAGGGTATCTCCATCGTAGTGGAAAATATTTTTAAGAATAAATGTAGCTGAAAAACAGGACGTGAATATTCCTATTTTCCTAATTAGAAGGAAGAAAACTATAATGAACTAGAAGAAATTGAAAAAAATTATCCTACCTCTGTTGTAGCTTTTAAAAAGTGATCATTTTTAATGAAGCAACCCTTTTCCAATACAACCTCAAAGAAATTAATTCATTCAGAAATAATGTTGATTTAAAGAGAGAATCCTGATGCTGCAGAAAGGGAATAATACCATTCAGTGTTGAAATGGACTTGGAAGTCCAAGCTTTCAAAATTTACATGCACATTATTTTTTAAAGCAAGGTGGACAAGGGGTGCCTGTGGATCCTAGTATGCTGGAAACATTATCTTTCCTACTTTCAGATTCTTTCTCCCATTGTGTAAAAGACCCTTTGAATGTAAATAACTAACCATAGGAAGCTAACAGCACAAAGTAAAGATCCAGCCACTAACATCAACTTATTTCATTAGAAATCCTCTGAGTCCCTTTCTTAGAAAACTGGGTGTAGTCGCAGCAAAAGCCTCACCGACCTTCTCAAGCAAAAAAAAAAAAGTAGTGGGAAGGATCCTGCATTGCTAGGGACAATAACAAAGCAACTTTGCCAAATTGACATCTGGTAAATGGATGTTTTGTGATCAGCCACGCTACTGTGGAAATCCTTTTGTGAAAACTCCAGTGACAAGCTTCAAAAATTCTAAACCCAAATAGATTTCTTATCCCTACTTTAAAGGGTACCTCTGTACTGAAGAGCCCATACATTTCTCTTTGGCATTCACTTATTTAACAGTTCAAAATCCTTTCTCCTTTGATATGTAATGTAAATCTACATATTAATTCACTTCCATTTTCTGCTTAGTATAGGCTTCCCTATGTATGGTCTTTCAAATATGTTGGACTACAGCTTCCATCACCCAGTATGGACCTTAGCTAGGGACATTGTGAACATATAACTTCAGCACACCTAAATGGCACGAGATTAAAGGAAGAACACTTTTGAAATGCTCCATATGAAGGCTATGTGTATTTCTGTTACAAGAAATGTCCATGATCAGCCTCATGGAAACATATTTTAAAAAGTTGCACACTTATAAATGTTTATGTTTGCATTTTTAAAAACAATTGATTTATGCACACACCAGGCTCTTCACTCAACTTGATTTTAATTTAGATATTTTTAATTTAAAAATAATAATCAGAAGCTGGGGTGCTGCAAAACATACGTATCAGCCTCTAATAAGAATGTCCCTAGGCTTTGTGGGCATCCTTTAAAAGTCCTTAGGAAATAAGGATTGCTGGGTAGCTACAACAATACTGACTCCACCTGCTTACAGAGGAAGGCTGGGTAATGGAGAGCAATGGCTCCAGTTGGCTTTCCGATAAAGGGTATTTGGGGACCTATCTGGATTTATCATGGACCTCATTCCCAGATGCACCGTTTTCTAAAAGTGCCCCAAAGCTTCCAAATGTACCTCTTGAGGTTGTCCATCTTTTTGTAAACACTTGATCATTAAATTACAGAGTCATTAATAGCATTGTAAGAAACTCTGAGTTACTAGTTGATAACCATGCAACTAATTAGATGGAGGAAAAGTAGTTGTACTACTTTGCCCTTTTCATAATCACACTTCCTCTGTAGTATTTGTAAACTGTTAATGTTAATTGCATCTACTCAAAATGGGCTCTCAAAGTTGTAGCTTTGCATCATGTGACATCCTGCACAGAGAATTCAGGTTCTATCTATATTCCACATGAAGTCAATGGCAAAATTCCCAGAAATATTCATTGTATTGCCGCGCAGTCTCAAGGCAATTAAGGATATTCCTTGATTCATGAGCAGCCATTACATCAACTCAGCAAAAGAAACAAATATACAAATTATTTATTTTTCACGGAAGGAAGTATGTTAAAATACATGTCATTAATCTTTAACTTGGGATCCGTTAGGCTTCTTTCTTGTTTTATTTGTGTTCCATTTTGCACAGGAACCTGGTATCTCCATTTGACATCACAATCTGTTAGGTTTTTTATTTTTTTTGTCATGAGCATGATGTCAAAAAGAAAGGCACTGATGTCACAGGCTCTCTAGTGCAATAACAAGGGATGAAAAGAAATGACAGGGCACCATGTTCCTCCTGTAACTTATTTAAATTAGAATAAAGGTGATATATTCACTGGAAGCACCAAATTAGTCTAACACTGGCAACTGCTACAATAGCCAGTGTGTGAATTCATGCTACCTAAGGACCAAGAAACACACTCACACAAGAAACATGGTTTCTCTTAACAACCAAGATACATATATGTTTTTCCAACACTTAAAAAACCCATATATTGGAGATTCAAAGTTGACTTGCTGTCTTGTTTCTTAATGCTAGCAAGGCATGTTGTGTTTCATTCACTATGAGATCCAAATCAAAATCTGGAAATAGGATGTAGAGAAGATGGGACATTAAATTCAAAAAAGTCATTGATCAGAAAACATATTTTTTGCTAAAAACAGAGGGAGGGGGAGAGATAAAGCTCAAGAGAAGCCCACAAAAGATCTACCATTTAATGTTGCAAGTTCATGAGAATGTAGGAAGTTCTCACAGGGGAGGGATGATTAATTTCAGAAAATGAGTGAAAACAACCCTCTTGGATGGAGAAAAGCATTGTGAAGAGCTAGTGAAGCTAAAAGTTAAAAGGATAATGCCCCACAGTGTAGACTTCCTGAAGTAGCTTAGTAGTTGTACTGGCGCTGGCATGGTTGGTAGACGAAGTGGCTTTGGGGTTTGGCCCGTGGTGGGCGGCACTCTCTGGCACGGTTCTGCCTCTTCATGACTTTCTGACTCAACTTATGCTTCTCTGCCAACTGCTTTGCCCTCTGAATCCGACGCACTTGATTGACCTTCTCCAAGATGGCAGCCTTGGTAGCAAGAGAAGTGGAGTGGTGTGTGGGACGGCGCTGTAAACAGTTTTCAGGTATTTCACTGCAGAAAAAAAAAGGCATACAGAGTGAGCTGGACTCAGCACTTTGATATGGTAACACCTACTTCAAAGGACAAAGGGCATATCATTTTCTCTAAATAGCAAAAGAGTGAGTCATAAAAAATTAATGTAAGCCACTCATCCACAAATGTGATAAGGAACACAAGCTACAACTCCCACAATCTACAACAAAATGCACAATAGCTGTATGTATGGACAATTCATGAAATGTCCCTTCCTCCTACTTTTTTCAGGGATAAAATTATGTAATTACGGATCTGTTTAGGCAGACAGTTCAGCTGTGCAATGAAAACCAAAGGCGAGGGAATGGGGACTGCTGATGGCCTTGTGCATCCAGGCAGCAGGGGGCATACTTGAGCATGTATCCGCTGTAATGTCCATTTACTGTCCTCCATAGGTAACAAAATTCCTGGGCTACATGATTCCAGCAAGTAGGAATCATGATATAAACAACATTGATAAGAACTTCTCGCCTGTATATGCTTCTATTCACAGAGAGGAATCAAACACCCAAATAGGAATACTGTCGTAGGCATAGCTGAAGCTCAGAAGTATGAATGATACTTTATGAAAGTTGAGAATATCTGAATATATATTTATTTTGCTATATCAAGGAATCCATTTGGTGGAAAAAACATTTAACTGGGAGAGTGATATTCCAGCCAGGCTAATAAAATAGGAAGTGGTAGTCAAACCAGAACCAGCATTTGCAAAAATGAAATTCCTTAAGCATTCTTTTTAAAACAAATAATATAACCCTGTTCACATGTACTTTGAAATAAGTCCCACAGATTTCACAGAGCCTTCAAAAATGGGGGAGGGGGAGAACTATTTCCAAATTGTTTCAATTCTTCCCTAACTATTTATCTCTTCTCATTCATTTATCTGGGTAAATTTTATATAAGGTTAAATATATACATAAAATATTCTGCCTGCAATGCTGGGAGATCTCAAAACACTGAGAACCCACCAGCTCAGGAAATATTGGGCTACAGAGTATTTTTGCCTAGCTGTGAATTTTGTGAAGAGGAACACGGGAGGCTCTTAGTAAATGTCTGGAACTGAACTTACTTCTCCTGGATGTTCTCCTCAGGATCCTCTCTTTCCACAATGATGCTGCTGGTGGTGGTGACATATACAGACATGCTGGGATGCTCAATCAAGAGGTCCTCCATGGGGCTGCTCTCCATACTGACAGCATCAGGACCTTCTGCAGTAAAACAGGGGGGAGGGGTAACAAACCAACTCTCATCCATCAAGCAGGGGTCAGGCTGAGAGGGCATGGACCTGCTGACACAGTCACTGAGGGAGTGGGGTGAAGACGTGGTAGGTGGAAGGGACCCATGGCGGCAACGGGAAGCGCAAACAGAATCCTTCTCACCTACCCACTGCTCAGTGCCAAGACTTGAAGCCAAACTATCTAATAAGAGATGGCAGCAATCACCGACCACACAAAATGGGAACAGCAAGAACAGCAGCAACAATGACACAAACAAAATTCAAAAGAAACATCATAGTGCAAAGCCATTCAACAAGAATGCATGGCAGTGCAGGGTGCGTACAGGAAGGAAAACAGTGCACACATTCAACATATTCAAAGGATGGGAAGGAAGAGGAGGGGAAGGGAGAAGGAAGGAAGGAAGGAAGGAAGGAAGGAAGGAAGGAAGGAAGGAAGGAGAAGAGAAAGGAGGGGCATTATTAGTGAAAAAGATACCCCAATGGCATTGGTGTCTTTTCTGAAGTCTTTTCTGATGGCTTAGGACTGACCCAAGATGTTTTACTATCCTGTGATGCCAATCCTCTGCATCATTTAAGACTGTAGCTGTGTGTCACTTGTGGCTTGCTTTCTGACATTCTCTGCCACATTGTCAGGTGTTCCATTTGGTATAAATCTCTCTCTCTGTGGTATTTTATTTGTGGACATAAAATAGGTCTACTTCAGTTGCCTGTGTAAATATCCCAATAATGATCATGTTGCACAAAGGAGGAAGATGAATATCCTGAACCAAATCAGGCAGTAGATTATGCTACTGGATTATTAAATAACCGAACAGACACAACAGTGAAAAGAATATTTGCAAATAAAAAGAATGCTTAATTTTCTCCCAAAGAATAATAATCAATTGCTGACGAACTATAGATACTAATATCTTTAAATGTGTACCATTCTAAATTCAAGGAGATAACAGCAAGACATTATTTTTGAAAAAAGGAACAAAAAATGATTCCATAAGGAAATTTGGGAACAGGGAGGATGGTTTAAATTAGATAGGTGGTATCTCCAGCAGACAAGGATTTTTCCTCCCTTCCTCAATAAAACATACCTTCTATCTTATTCTACTAAAATTGACCCACTCACCAGACTCTGGAAGAGAGATTTTTAAAAAAAATTAAAGCAACAATCCTATACATTTTTAGAGAGACCTATCAGCTTCAGCAGCATAATTTTAACAAATATTGCATCAAAATTTATCATATAATTGTCACTTGTTTGCAACTCCAGGAAGCAGTTCTGTCTTTTCTCAGGCTCACGTAGTAGCCTCATTGGCTTTACTTAACTGTTCCAGTTTCAGAGAGGGAAATGGGATTGTTTCAAAGAGTTGCATCAGGTGCTGTGTTTGTATACCACATGCAGGGGTGGGTGGCTGGGGGCTCGCAAGAGTTCGGGAGAGCCCCTAGATAAGTTTCTGTCAGTTTGGAGAACCCTCAAATCCCACCCCTGGCTGGCCTCACCCACCCCTCCCGTCCCAGTAGTCCCCATGCAGCCCATTTTGGATGCAGGTAAATGCAGGGTGCCTGTGGGGGCTTGGGGAGGGCAAAAAATGGGCCTCCCGGAAGTTCGGGAAGGCCAGAAATGGGCCTGTTTCCGACTTCCACAGAGCCTCTCCACAGAGGCCTTTTTCACCCTCCTGGAGGCTCGAAGAAAGCCTCCAGGGCCTGGGGAGGGCAAAAAGTACCCCCCTGTCATGGTCCAGAAGGCTGATTAGGCCATGCCACCATGGTCACGCCCACCCAGCAACCGGGCAAAGAACCCCTTGCTAAATTTTTTGAAACCCAACCCTGGCCACATGTTTCAAAACACCTCTTTGGAATTAAATGTAAAGTATTCCACAGGGCTTATTAAGCATGTAAACCTCAAATGCTAAAAGGTCTATCAAGCCGGATGATCACCAAGTTTGCATTGCAATGACCCGATTCTCTCCCAGCTCCTGCATAATATCATTTGAGGTCTTTGTACAAGGACAAAAATGGCCTGACTATTCAAGACATCATCCTTCCTGCATATGAATTCATACCAAAAGCTGGGATGGTGGCACCCTAGTTATGCAGCCAGACAATTTTTCTTTCGGTTGTATGTTACAGCAGAGAACCTTTACATAGGAGATAGGAGTGGTGGTAGAAGGAGACAATGGCCTATTTTAGCCCAGAGACTGGGAAGAAAGATGAAACCTGTTTGTCACAGGCAGTTTATATAAGCAAAGAAAACCAAGCTGCACGGTATTTTTTTATAGGCGCCATAAAACTGATTTGAGAAACAGTGGTGAGGTTTGTTAATAAGGTTGCTTCTGAAAATCTACAGTACTAGAGAGCTCCCAATTCAGGCAGGGAGCGGAATTAGCCAAGAGTTCCCACAAAGAGGAAAGCAGGCCACGTCTAATCCTCCAGATTGTCTATTGTCGCAAACTGCAAAACAGACCTTTTGCTATTTGAACGGTGCCACAGCTAAGCTGGAAGAAAATGTGTTTGGCTGTTAAGGAGGGTGATGTCATGGGAACATGGCAGCATGTTGCTATGTCAGAACTGATGTAAACATCACTTGTGAAGAGCCCTCGGGAGTAGATTTTCAGGACACAAAGGCAGCTGTGGTTGACAGAGATTTGGGACTGCGTCCCGCACTACATTTCTGCACAAAGCTAATGCACATAGTATTCATTCTTTATTGTATTTGCCTTTATGTTGCCAGTTTCTTCTCTATTGCAGTCATTCCCAATGTGATGTTCCGGACGTCTCAACCACCTAACTTAGAATACTAGTGTTGCAATGCCTTCTTCCTTGATTTGTTGGTTTCAAACATAAGGTATGGAAGTATCTTTGCTGACTCAGATCATTGCAGAAAATAGAATATTTTAAAAGCCTTATTTTCACAGTGCTTCTATTAGAACCAAATTGGACATTGGTATGGCTATCATTATCCAAGCACAGCGGCACAGCATTAAGGTTACACATGGAGACATTTGCTTCAGTTACTAGGACACTGTGAGCATCCCAAATCAAGTTTCTAGTTAGATCTACTGACATTTGGGGAGGGGATTATCTAAAGAAAAATGAAGTGGTCTCTTGTTTTGATCAAACAATAGAGCTCTTTCCCTGTGCTATTTTCCTAGTTCTAAATTGCCCTGCCTCAAAGCATCTCTAACTGCAGAAGGAAAAAAGCATTGGTTGCTGTAACAAGTCTTATTCTATCCTTCATAATAGGGAAGGAAAACTTGTTTCTTCCAAAGGATAGCAGGAACTTCAAAACCACTCCAAAAGTACCAGGGGAATATAATGTGCTACTGTGACGAAGAGAGAAAACAATGAGGTGCATGTGGTGTAATAAGATTAACCTCACTGAATGAAAGTTTCCATTTAAATTATATCAACTTTTGTTTTTGTCTTGTTTTGGAGAAGTTTGCCCTCTAGTGCAGAGTTTACCAATCTTTCCAGCTTTGCGGACCGGCCAACGGGTGGGGGAGTGAGGAATCGGATGGTTCTGCATGAGCGGCGGGTAAGCATGTGTAATGCGCTCAGCTCCATTCATGCAGGCGGTGGGCACACACACACACCGCTCATGCAAATGGAGTGTGCACTCATGCACTTGTCCACTGCTTGTGCAATTGGGGACGCATGTGTGCACTCACCCTCCACTTCCACAGCCTGGTTCCGAAGGGCTCAAGGCCCAGTACTACCTCCTCTAGTGTGGGTTTGAAAGCTGGACATCTCTGCCCTGGTCTAATGGTATGTGGGAAAGACCTTGGGAGACAGGAGGAAGGAGAGCTGCAGACTGGATAGCTGGTGTGTAACTGGTACCACAGCCCACAAAAGGGGGAGAGTGCGGGAAACATTTCAGAAAGGACCTTCCCTAGTTTTCTAGAGAGTGAAAGGAAAGTATAGAAGAAATACTTTCAGTCTTGTAAAATTCTGTTAATATAACCTTATAATAAAGATAGAGCTAGTACTCCTGTGGGTGCTTCTTATGTGGACTACTTCACTGTGGTGACATCTGGACAATCAACACATCTTCTGGAGCTCTATACATTTCTAGGGTCACTTGCACAAACACACCAACACAGTATTACTTACACACCATTCTCACATTCCCCTCTAAGGATTACTAACAGTCAGTAGATAATTTAAAACAGGGGAAACATGGAATCCCATATGGTCACTGTCAGAATTCTGATCAAAACCAAAATTCTCTGCAGCTTTTTAAAAATTAAATGGCAGTTCATGGCATTTCCCCTTCCCGGCTTCCATTTCAAATAGCAGCAGCAATTCTGAATTATCATGTATATAAAGGAATATAAAGTGTTTCATACATCAAACGTAAACTCTTTTTCAAAGAATTTAAATTATAATTCTCATAGACAACAAGTTGCATAATGTGTGCCAGTGCACTGATCCAATTATCTCATAGAATTTAACCTAGATTATGATTACTTCATCCAGAGGTGTGCCTGCAAATTTTGAAGTACAGAAGATTATCCTAACTGCCTAAGGACAACAGTAGCATATTATAGCTTGCAAAATATATTGTTTGCAATCTGTCCCCTGGAAAGAAGCTTTACTGAACTAAATGGTGCTTACTTTCTGCTTCTAAAACAAAATGAATTTTAATAAAAGCCCTCGATCTGTTGTAATTCATGTTAATTAAAAACCCGGCCTTTAGATTTAATTAGAAATCCAAATCATCTCACAATTAAACATTACTATTTATTCTGCTAGGTGAACTGAGATCTTCTGATAAAAAAAACTGGTTTCTGTTTAAAATTGTTTTTCTTCATTCTCTCATTTTCTCTTGGTTAGCCTACCATTCATAATATTAAAAAAGGAAAACTTTAAATCCATCTGATAATCCAATTTATTGGCAAAAACAAAGAAACCTATCCATTAGCTTGGTGCTTAAGCAGATGACATCCTCCCTCTGTTGCAGAAAAATAATGTTTACATCACTGCTCATCGCAGCTGATGGATTTGAAGGTGGATACTTTTTTGTTGATGTCTTAATAAACCTTGTGCAATTCTGGTACCAGGAAGAAGGTGATCATAATTATATCTCTGATTATCCAGAGGAACGTGTTTAGTTTTTTGTTTTTGTTTCTCTCCCTCCAAGCAACCAGCATTGCATTTTAATTAAGATGTATACAGACCATGGTTATTTTCATATAATCCTTACATATAATGATTGTTTTGATTTAAATGAATCTTTTCCAATTGATGCCCTCCAAACCGAATCAGTTTTAATTCCAATACCCCCTAGCTAGTACAATGGCTACGTTAGTTAGGGATATAGAAATGGAAGAAACACCAGGTTATATAACTGGATGGTATATAAATTTAATAAAGTATTATATTTTGTAATGGGGGTGGAGGTGATGGCTCAGTGGTTTAAAGACACTAAGCTTGTCAGTTGGAAAGCTGACAGCCTGGGTTCAAGCCTGAGCACTGCATGATGGGATGAGCTACTTGCCCCAGCTCCTGCCCACCAAGCATGTTGAAAGCATGCAAATGTGAGTAAATAAATAGGTACCACATCAACGGGAAGATAAGAGCGTTCCGTGCACCTTGGTGTATAGTCATGCTGGCCACATAACCACAAAAATGTTTTTGGACAATGCTGACTCCCTCAGCTATGAAATGGAGATAAATATTGATCCCTAGAGTTGGAAACGACTGGGCAAGAGAAACCTTTATCTTTATGTACTGTTATTACTTGTTTCAGGAAATTTTATGAAACATCCATCAGTCTCACCAATGTTGGCTGGGTTAGTTCACACACTGCAATGTGTAAGAATTAAAAGATGGAAAATTTGTGGGCCTTCAGGTGTTGCTAAATTGCAACTGTCAACATTTCCTAACCTTGGCCATTTTGTCTAAGCCTATTGGGACTTATAACTCCAGCTATAAATTCTGGAGGGCCACAGGTCAGGAAACAGTCAAGGCAAAGAACTATATCCTGTCCTCCAGATGTCTTTCTCTCATAATGCCACATTTGTAAACCTCTGTATCTCATGGGGAAAAAAAGGCAACTATATTTTCCCTTAGTCAGAAACTGCTGGTTAATGAACAGATTGTCTTCATTACCCTTTACTGGTTGTTCACTTGGCTTCCATCCCTGCCATTCAATACATTCTGTTTTTTTTTGGGGGGGGGGGGCTTCCTGTCCCTTCTCTAGAGGTTATGGGGTGTCCTCCAAAATGTTTTGAAAAACAACTACTACAAATGCTCATCACATGATCAGATGGCGGTATTGAGGGGAATTGTGATTTAAAGAAATGTGGACGATACCAGGTTGACTCTCCCTGTCTTTTTCAAGAAATAACTGAGCTAAAGCAAGGGGTGTGTGTGTGCTCTGAGCCTTATTATCTGGGTGCCTCTTTCCTGTTTCTCAACTGTTTCCCAGAATTCACCTAAACAACTTTGAGGCATTTTCATTTGAACCATATTGAGGAAGTTTAAATTGATTCATCTGTATTCCACAGCAAATAATTAATGAACAGTTGAACATTGGGAAGGAGTATTGGAGAAACAAGATTGTATGCTGCCTTGCCCCCATTTTCTCAGCCCCTCAGTGGGAGAGCATGCGGCATCTGCTAATTCTCCATGCCTTATTCATGAGTGTAGCACTCATTGCTTAATGCTCCAGTTTCTGTTCAGAAGTGCTAAAGGCTTTTCCTGCATGGAGCACATAAAGCCCAAGTCACAGATCAAATGCAATCATGTTCTTAAGGAAACAACAGTACTTTTAATCTGAAACATAATCTTAAAGCATACTCCAGTATATGGGCAAAAGTAAAAAGAGAAGTATAATAATTTAGTTCATGTTAAGATATTAAAATGTAATGTAATAAACTAAAGAGGATTGGTAAGAGAAACGAGTTAAAAACAAAGCTATGGAGAACATTGTTGACTCGACTTCTTCACTTAATTTGCAAGCAAACGATTGCCATTGGAAATAGTTGAGTCATATAATTTCCACTCAACAGCAAGGCAGAAATCTGGCTGGCCTGAAAAACTAGTCTGAGAAACACATAGAATTTCAAGCTAAAATGTAATTGTAAACAGATTATTTGGATTCTTGTCAGATTTCAGACATGGGTACGGGACACAAGTTCTTGTAGATGGCTAACAGGACCAGTGATCAAGGACTACCTGTGTATAAATTTAAGAATTGCTGCCTAACTTTACTTTTGTTTCAATCTCTCCTTGTTTCTTTTTTCTTCTATATCACTTTTAAAAAATGCAACTAGACACACTCCTTCCATTCTGCAATTTGAGAAAGGTAATGTGAGAAACAGAGACAGTATGCTGCCGGTTCATACTGGTTCTAGTGATCCAGTAGTGACAGTCAGCAGTTGGCTCCGCCAACCCGCTCCCACCCTTTCCTGTCTTATATTTCCTTTGTTTGTAGTTCAGCTGATAGGTGCAGCAGAGTGGATTGCCATGTCTCATCTGTTTTATTCACCAGTGCTGAAGGTAAGGCAAGGTTTCATGCTTAAAACTCCCCTTTTTAGAACGCTCCACATGCATGTGAAGTGCATGCCCACAGAACCAGTAGTAAAATACTTTGAATTCCACCACTGGTGAGAATCCAATCATTTCCTCCAATGTTTCTCACCTGGCAGATCAATAATAAGCCATCCATCTTCTTCTTCCTCTTTAGAAACAAAAGGCTTAGGTTCCTCAACGACTTCAACTGTGCTGCTATCACTGAAGAAGAGGCTGGTGAAACGCTGGAACATGGTGGGAAATGGATTTCTAATATGGACTTTGAAAGAAAAATGGAAGCACGGCTATAGATGCTTGTTTCAGTGTGTGTAGCCAGAAGATGGTGCTTCTGTGGTGTAAATTTGGGGAGAAATTGATGGATGGGTCTTCCAAAAAAAGCAGGAGATGTCTGATGCTGGGGTATTTTTTCCCTCTGAAGTCTTATCTGACTTGAGTTCTGTATAGTGCAATCATAAGGTTCTTCACTTGGCTTCAGTGCAAAGTCCTGCAAAGAGTAAGGGTGGGGTGAAATAAGAGAGAAGAGAGAAAATAATTTAAATTATCTTTAAAAAAGCAGAAGTGTTTTGAATCACAAGGAACTCAGATGATCCTGAGAAAGAAATGGAATATAATTTCTGCCATGGATCATAAATTTAATTTGCTCTGATTATGACCTTTTCCTGATGTCTTTTAATTTCATCTCTGCAAGGAGCCTTCCTTCTTACTCTTACTGAAAACATTTCTTCAGTGCTGATTCAGCTTTTTGAAAATCCCCTCGGTCTTGGGGAAGGACTTTTCCTACAGGCCCATATTAATGTTAATATGTTTTACCTCATAAAAGATGCTTCCTGTTCCAAGTCCCTGAATTGGATTTGTTAAGAGGACAAATTCAGGATCTCTTTCGATATTCCATTTGCAAGTAATAGTTGATAATTCAGGATATCAGTCAATTACTTGTCTGTTTTCTCACCCCTTACTTTCATTCTATGCTTGAATGTTTCTACTCCAATGAATCCTTCCAATTTGAGGCCATCTCTTGGGATTAAAATTTTAAAATCTCCCTTCAGTTCCATGTAATTTTTCTTGGCATCAGTAAAGCACATATTTGTCATTGTCACCTTCTGAGATATTTTATTTGGCTAACCCCAATCTAGTCACATCTATGAGATTTCTTGATGGTCTCTCACCCAAGCACCCTCTTCAGTTTTTGAGATCTGGCAAAATTGTACAAGGTGTGCTATACATCCCATATTTGACCATGCTAGCTAGAGATTTTAGAAATTGCTGTTTCAACCCCTCTGTAAGGCACAATGTTGAGAACATTATTACCTCAATATACCCTGATATTAAAAATTCCAATGTCCTCACTGTCTACAATAAGGAATTATAGCATGCTGCTGTTGCTTAACCCAGAACCCTTGATAATGTTACCTCTTTTTCACCATCTATTACCTTTTTTAAGATCTAGATTTTATGTAGATCAGTGGTATAACTTGCTTATTATTTCATTCTACCATAATTAGTTTTTATAATATACAACCCCAAGTTTCTTTGTGTGGTTTTCTGAATTAGATCCTTTTATAACAGAAGTTTGGCATTTTTACTAAAACAATATGCAAAACAACTTAGCACACTTATTTTACTTGCAGACATAGTATGCCACCACTAGTTTCTCTTACATTTGTGTTTTCGTTTTCCCCCCAAAGTCTATCTTCCCAGCCATAAAAAGGTTTCCTATAAAGCACTAGGCATAATTGCTAGTATTATTTTATTGTTGTTGCTGTTAGCTATCAGCTTTCTGTGCCGTCCAGAAGCCAGAAACAGACTAACAAAGGTTCATCAGCAGTCAATCTATTCCAATCTTCTTTACCGAATGCCTAAATGACTTGCACAACAAAACTAATGACATCCCAGTCATCTTGCCCATAGGACATGATCAGTTTTTCAGTCCAACTTACTGGTGGGCTTTAGGCTGGGGGAAATAGGTTGCTCTTACAATTCGAGAACTCCAAGGAAAAAAATTATCCCAACCCTTCCGCCAAAGGTAAATATTTCTACCATTACAAGATTTATCCCTCCCAAAGAATCAATCTGTAGTTTCAATCTGACATTTAAACTAGTGTTATGCATTTCTGCCTTGCAGTTCCTCAGTAGCTTCCTTCTAATATGAAAGATAATTTTTGTTTTTGTATCATTTTCAGAGAAATTAAAAATTTCTTTCAAAATTTTCTTGATTTTTTAAAAATGTTATCATATTGCTTGAAGTGAAAGGCAAGGCTATTTTGGGGATTGGGGTTCATTGTTATCCCTCTTTCCATCTTCATGAAGCCTCCCTGGCTGCTTTCACATCCTGAAAAAACCAAACTATTACAAGACATCCTTCCCTTGATGTAAGTGTGGGAAGTCAAGAAATTTAAAGACACTTTGAGAGACAGGTAAGAGAGATATGACAGTTATATATCTCTTTGCCACTGCAATCTACCCTTGAACATTTCATTCACATTCTTCTCAATTGAAACTTATTTCAAGACAAATTTTCTGCTATCTAGATCACTATTTCCCAGCCACCATGCAAAAGGCTGTGGAGTTCTGAGAATTGAAGCTTACCCATCTTATGGTTGCCAAGGTTGAAAAAAGTTGAAAAACACTGATCTAGATTTGATGAAGATTGGTAGAAAACTAATGCAGAGAATTTTGTGGTACAGCAATCATTTAAATTTACAGGTTTTTTTACTATTCCATTAACTTCCTCCCAGGCAAACTTAAAAAATCAGTATTATTTCCATGCTTGTTATCCTCACAGCAACCTTGAGAGAATTTATGCCAACAATCCTTACAGCAACCCTGGGATTACAACTGACAGGTCACTTCCTCTGCTGAAGAGAGATTTGAAAACAGAAGTCCAGCATTCTTAATTGCTATTCTGAATTGGCTCTAAAGTTATTCCATCCTTAGTAAATAAAGCAAAAAGCTTGCTTCTTTCCATCTTTTCAAGTACTTGAATGCAAGCAATGCATTCATCCAACTTGATGGAAGAACATCAAGAGCTGGTTCCTCTCTTAGCTACTAAAGAAGGATGGATCATAACTCTGTTGCCATTTCATGGCAGGAACATTTGCAATTGTTTGCTAGAAATGTTTTTTACACTGGTACCATTAAACCAGTTTTGAATCAAAATCCAGGAATTCGCTTGGTAGAGCACTCTGAGATACTGCCAAGTTTCAATTCCACTTCCAAACTAAATGTAGTAAAGATTCTGAATTAGCAATTTTACTTCTTACCTCGGTTGTAATTTACATGAAAGCTGGAACGTGACTGATTAGACTGTCTACTATTGACCTCACCCCTTTCCTAAGAGATCTGTAGGGGGCGTGCATAAGCGCACCAACGTGCCTACCATTCCTGTCATTGTTTCTTTTATTTTTCTTATATGTACCCATTTCATGTATTCATAATTATGTATATACTTATACCTATTATCTTGTAAGCAATTGACAAATCAAATCAAATCAAATCAAATCAAATAAATAAATAAATAAATAAAAACAAGGATAGAGAAAGTTCAAACAGCATTCTTCAAAATAAAAAAGGTCTTCTGCAGTCATGACATAAGCCTAAGATTGAAAATCAGGCTTGTCAGATACTACATCTTTTCTATCCTGCTCTACACAGTGGAGAGTTGGTCTCTGACAGAAAGTCACTTAAAGCGAGTAGAAGCATTTGAAATGTAGATTTAAAATCCAGGCACTAATATTGACTATACAAAAGTGTTTTTTTTTAATCAGCCTGTCAGTTCAGTGTAACACATCTTCAGAAGCATTTTTATAGATTACAATTATCCAAATCAGGTTTTCTGACTTTAGCTCAATCAAATTATATTTGTCAAATATTTGCCTAGTAGTAAAATGATTTTTTATTTTAAAAACACAGATCCCTACAGGATTATAATGTTCATCAAATTGTAGTAAGGATGGAAGAAATATGTTTAGTTTACTCTTGAATACAAGCTTTTTTAGTTCTCTATTTTTTTAGCTGATACACAACCTAATTTTTTTCCAAATCATCCCAAATTTCTTTATAATTGTCAGTGCAGTTCATTATCTATATTTAAAATATGCATTCGGGGGGTGGGGGGGTGGACCTTTAAAAAATATGATGGGAAATTGCTTGCAAAAGCTAAATAGTTAGAGAAATTTGCATTTAAAGTACAAATTTTAGTCTGGATTTACAGTATTAAAAATTCTTAATGAATCACACTTACTGTACTTACAGAAACAAGAAATTGGAAAAAAAACCTGAAATAGACAGAATGGCTAAGTCATTAGACAGGGAGAAAAAAATAAGCCTACTGACTGTGTAGCCAGAACTTATACATCAATTGGCACTGTTTAGAGTAGGGGTATCAAACTCAAAGCCCATGGGCCACATCCGGCCTACAGGTTGCTTAGATCTGGCCCGCGGGGCCATCCTGGAAACAGCGAAGGACCAGAGTGCCTCTGCCAGTGAAAACAGAGCTCTGAGGGGCCACGTGTGGCACTCCAGGGTTCTGTTTTTGGCCACAACGGCCTCCTGCAGCCCTTTGCCAGTGCCCCGCCTCCAGGCTCCATTTTTGCTGGCTAGCAAAACAAACTAAAAACAATACAAAAGGAGAAATGTTTCCCCTTTTGCATTTGAGCATTCAAGAAGGGACAGGAAAGGAGAAAGGAGAAGAGGAAAAACAAAGAAAAAGAAGGGAAGATGGGAAGAGAGCAAGAAAGGAAAAAGAAGGAAAGAGGGGAAGGAAGAAGAAAGAAGAATGAAGAGGGAAGGAAAAAGAAGAAAAGGAAGGAAGGAGATTATAATGAGAGGGAGGGAGGGTCTGAGGGAAGTCCTTTCGCATTTGGCAACCACAGGTGCCCCCCTCACAAATGATGTTGAGTTGGCCATACCCCATGGCTTTACACATTCCTGAGGTCAAACACACCCCTGATGCAGCCCTCAATGAAATCGAGTTTGACACCCCTGGTCTAGAGCAATTTTCTAGAAACATGAGGGCGGGAGCAATTTAAAAAAACACTTGAAGGAAGAAGTCTATAAATAGAGTTTGAAGAATGTGTGTGTGTGTGTGTGTGTGTGTATGCGTGTGTGGTATGTATGTGAATGTGTATAATGCAATGTAGAAGTACTTCAAAAGTTCAGCTTTAATAATGCAAATCTCACGATTGACATTGTTAATAGTGAGATTTGTTAATAGTTGCTTAGATACCAGAAAGAACCTCATCTGTTCTAAACGCTTTAACAGACATTGCACTAAGGAGGGGTATGTGCTACATGGTTCCTATTCTTCCTTGTAACTGCATGGTTTTATGATATGGTGGGTCTGCACCAGAAACAGTGGAAATGTTGTGGCCAAAAAGGATTACACAATGTAATCCTTTGGACATTTATCTCAAGCCTGAAGACCCAAGGAAAGGGTAGAAAAAGCATATCGCAGGACACATACGTAGCCTAACAGTATATATTTTG